GATATGTATGACAGAATGAGGTGATCGATCTTTTGCTTCCATCCATGCACGCATAAGCTTTTTTGAATTGTTGACTAGGAATGATTCTGGAAACACACATAGCCGTGTATAGATTCAAAGTTTGGATTTAAAGTTTAGTCCTTTTCCATCGCATCAACATGTCATACATACAACTTTTCAGTCACATCATCTCTAATTTTAACCAAAAGCCAAACTTTACGCTAAACTAAACACAGCCTGGGAGTAGTATGCTGAAGCAAAAGCCGGTCTTTTGGAGGATGGCTTTTAATTTCTCTCTGTCACCATCAAATCAAATCTCGTAGCCAATTCTCTTCTCAGCAGTACTAGAACAACAACGCAGGGGCGCCGGCCACTCCTTTGCATTGATAAAGACAGGCTGTGCCCCGGAAAAGTGGTGGTACTACGCTAGCACGCACAAAAGCCAGGGGGGACAAAGAAACATCTTGGTGATGTAATACACTCGCAGTGTTTGCTGCTGCATTGCCATGAAAGAAAAAGCCTTGCGTTTAATCCGTCCGGTTGCATTGCCTGTCTCCGTGCAGCACAACACATACATTTTCAGAAACCAAACAGTGCATGTACAATTGCATGCAACTTTTCATCTTAACTAGGAAGGTAGCGCTATGTATTTTAGACTGTGTTTGAAAAACTTACATAGGTGGAATATCAACCGATGACACCTGCAAGTTTTTCAAAAGTACTACTTCGAAAAACTTATATTGCCATGATTGAAAAACTTGTATTGCGCGGGCATGTATTTAGATTGCATTTGAAAAGCTTATATACGCGGAATATCAACCGGATGACACATGCCATGTTTCAAAAGTACTATTTCTCCGTAATTTTTCTTCATCAACATTACTTAGATAATTTTTCCATGCTATTTGTTAGCTTTTAAAATATATAATATTTAATCCATCGGTATAAACAATTATGTATGATCTGTATAAACACCTGCAATGTTTCAAAAATACCTATTTAATTTGTTTGAAAAACGTGCCTAACAAAATAAACATAAAGTAAAATGTTTTGTCTTGTTTAATTGATTGTTTAGTGGCCTTTTTTAATAAATCCTAAAGAACTATTATTGTTAGTAAACATGCTTTATTTGTACCATCAAGTTAGTCATCTTTTTAGTTGGTTCAATATGCATGTTTTACATACTTACATATAAATTAACAAAAACATATCTTAGAACCTCGCTTCCTTTTAATATGTGTGATCTATAGGAAAATATAGTCGACATGAGTCCAAAAATTTAAATATAATAGTAACAAATATAACCAACTATATATTAATATCTTAGTGTGGCTTAATATGCAGACAAACTCGTAATAATATGGTATTGGATAGATGCAAGACCACTAATATTTAAGCATTTAATAATTGTTAGAAAAATGGAACATGTAATGGTTGGTTCAATTTTAGTGAAAAGTTCAAACTTATTTGATTTTCTCCAAATAGTTCAATTTAGTCCCTATTGATATTTTAAATTGTAAATTTTATTTTATTCCAGTTCAAAATATAGGGGTTATGGATAGAGCAATAGTCAGATTAAAAATCAAATGTGTAGCTTAAAAATATACATGTTTTAATATTATTGATTATTTCTTGCAATAAAAAATTGATGGGTAGAGGAGAGAGTGGTGAGTTAGAGCTGAGAGGAGAGGGGACGGGTAGTGTTGTGCTGTGCATATGTGACGGGAGGGCGAAGTGGAGGGGTGTTCTTTTCCTAAATGATTTAAGTGAAAACCGATGATTTTTTTGTCAAAATTTCTAATATCCTTTTTTTTCTAAATTTTAAGACGTAGCGCATGGCGGCTTAAGATTTTCTCTAAAATTATATCTACTGGTAAAAAAATGGATCCACCTATTAAGTGGAAACTAATGGTCAGATGTCTTTATTTACAGTTTCTGAGGTTTTATTTTTAATTAAGACATAACACGTGACACATACAGAGAATGCACAATGATTTGAGGTCATATAAACCTATTGTCATTTTTTATTTATAATATTCTGTATTTTTTTTCTATTTGGTTATCATGCAAAGATAGGTGTGTATGCTCAAATGGTGTATTTTTAGTTTTATACAGTGAAATATGAATAATATGCGTCTTGAATTTTTTATTTAATTATAAATAAAATAACAATTCAAATAAACTAAAAATCAGATATAACATAAGAAAAAGTGGATTAATCTGTTGTAACTATGTTCTTTTCTATTTTAATAAAATTATATTAACATCGGGGGCCTCCCCTGCTGTGTTCTCTTAAAAAATATATAACATAAGAATCATAATTATATTGCTTTGTAATTATTGATCTTTTTGTATTATGTTGTCAATTAGTTAGAAATTATAAGGAGGAGTTGAGTGAGAAAGGAAAAGAACACAAAGTAGAAGGGGACAAAGTACACCCACATATAATTATATTTTTTACATTTGTAGTGTTTTAGTTACCATTACTTTATTAACTAAAAATAGAATAAAAGTTTTATTGATTGATTAAGATATATCATTTTTACTCATCTTTTCGTATATAGGAGATACTGAAAATATGAACACTACAGATTTACTAATGTTATTTTGGATTTATTATAATATCAAAATGGGAGGAGTAATTTTTTGGAACAATACTCAGAGTTATTAGATTTATTTTACTTTTGTCATTACATATCTAATTGAATTATTCCGAACCGGGAGAATAGAGACATTCTCCAGTAGTGTAGTTGTTTGAATGGCACACAAAGCCAGAAAATATAACCCCAAATATGGGTCTTTAAATGTATAGTAATCAAAATACATAAGCAGAAATATTATTTATCTGATTTAGGGATCCATGATGTAGATGTTATAGTTGCTTATTTCTTTAGCATAACTCTTGCTTTCTAACTAATATATTTTGGTATGTTTATTTTTACCTTTATGATTGTAGATATTATTTAATTATTATGAAGTTATGCACGATGATTGAGTCTATAATATCATTATTATTTCATATTTTTTATAATTGCTTGAATGGCACGTGACCGTCTGAAAATAAAATCCAAATTGACTTTTTTTTTCTCAAAGTTGAATTATAGTGAACATTTGGCTTTAGCTGTAAATTTAGTCATAAATAAATTTAAAGATATAAGTGGATCAAAAAATAGTTCTAATTAGATGTTATAGTTGCTGAATTGTTTAACACCAATTTTTTGCTTTTGTAACTAATAAAGTATGAATAGAAGAAATATGTGCAATATGAAAAAAATTGAGGGAAGAAGGGGTGGAAGTACATTACGAACGTACGCACTTGTTACCTGTAAAAAGAAAACGTACGTACGTACTGTACGTATAGGCCTAGGTGGACCCTTGATTGGGGTTAGGGAGTTTTTTTTTCTTTAGATAAATCTAACGGTGGTAAATAATGGGTCCACCTAATTTAATGAAAATCAATGGCTAGATGTTTTGTTTTTATTTCTTAGAATTTTTAGAAATTTCTCTAATTTAAAATGCCATGTCGTGGCTTAGGAGCGTTTGTAGGACATTTAAATTTCCTACAAACTCTCCTAGGCCGTCACGTGGCATTCTACAATCCCATCGTTGATTTTCATTTAAATTGGTGGACTTGTTATTTTAGACTGCTAGATTATATCTATTTAAAAAGTTCTCTGTCGATTTTCATTTAAATTAGTGGACCCATTATTTTAGACCGTTAGATTATATCTATTTTAGAAAGTTATTTTTAATAAGATAACTGATGTTATCATCATAGATTATATATTGTGTTACAAATATTATATATAAAATTAAAATTATACTCTTCATAGACTACATTAAAATCCATAAACTCTAGACTACATTGAAATTACTCATCAGATTATATGTAATGGGTCACAATTATGCTCGTTGCAAATTAAGAATCCCATATAATTGACAGCTCATGCCATCCTCATATTTCAAATATATATTTTTTCCTGTAAAATATGAGACCCATGAAAACACATTTTCTATTTACGGTAGCATCGAGACCACTCCTTTATATAACAGTGATTGTGTGTTCGCTCCCGGCTAAAACTCTATGGAAAAACAGATCTTTTGACTCCACGGTAACAAATTATGGTGTGTATTTTTAACTGCCTTAATTAATTAGGAAAGAAAAGAAGAGATTGATGGGGGAGGAATTTGTACGTACGTACGTACACATGTGGTGACAGCCAAGGAAAGGGTGAGGGGGGGGGGGGGTTTAAGTTTTGATCTAAAGGTTAATAGTATCGGGTCCACCGTTTTAAATGAAAATTGACGGTCAGATATTTTTCTTTTTTCATATTTTTTCTCTAATTTATTAAAGCGCCACGTGGTGGCTTAGGAGCGTTTATAGGGTGACACATGGCGGTTTAGAAGCGTTTGTAGGAAGTTTAATGAACTTTTAGTATATAATATATATGACTAATTCCAGGTAAAGGGAAAGTACTTACTAACATTCACCTATACTAAACTTTAGTAGTGAATGACTTGTTTGCCATAGAAGTTGACCAGATGCTTCTGTTAATTGCAGAATATGTCTCTGATCAAATGATCAATACGTATTGTGCTTGATTTGGGATTGTTCAATGTTCATTTGGGCTGAATTAACCAGGAAAGGGAGCACAATGGACAAGGCTCAAATATATGAATGGAGGAGCTACCACTAGCTAGGTGAAAAAACATGCATGTACAACGAGTAATGCATGAGTCAAGCTACCAGCGGCATACAAGCAAGTCAAAGAATTCACATCACCAACAGATTGACAATAAACTAAACTAGACAGGTGAAAAATAAACAAAGTGGTGAGCTAGTGCTACCCCCCAAAAAAACATAAGTAAAACCGAGTAATATTGGGTTGGAACCCCAAAAGGACCTCATTGGCTTGGAAGTGGCCTAGCCTTCCTTCCCTGCCCCCCTAAATTTACCATTGTACCCCTCACCCTCCTCTCTATATATACATACCCAGCACCCTTCACTCCCTTCTCCAAGTGTTCAAGCTCACCTCAGTTGATTCTAGCTTAGCAACACACAAGCACACAGCTAGCTAGCTCAGCTCTCTGTGCTTCTCTAGCTAAGCTAATCGTTTTCAGGCGAAGGAAGCACACACATCTCCATTTGTGCATCAGATCACCGGCCAGGTCGTCGGCGAGAATGCAGTACGGAGCGGCGGCCGAGCAGGCGTGGTACATGCCGGCGGCGGCGCCGGCACCGATGGTGGAGAGCGCGGTGGCGCGGGTGGAGCGGCTGGCGTCGGAGAGCGCGGTGGTGGTGTTCAGCGTGAGCAGCTGCTGCATGTGCCACGCCGTGAAGCGCCTCTTCTGCGGCATGGGGGTGCACCCGACGGTGCACGAGCTGGACCTCGACCCGCGCGGCCGCGAGCTGGAGCGCGCCCTGGCGCGCCTCGTCGGGTACGGCGGCCCCGCCGCCGCGTCGCCGCCCGTCGTCCCCGTCGTCTTCATCGGCGGCAAGCTCGTCGGCGCCATGGACCGCGTCATGGCCGCGCACATCAACGGCTCCCTCGTCCCCCTCCTCAAGGAGGCCGGCGCGCTCTGGCTCTAGGCCTCGCCCGCCCGCCATTGGCGTGCTCTGGCTTAGCCCCCCTAGTATACCTAGCACGCAAAAAGCTTTACCTGCTGCTGCTGCTGCTGCTGCTAATGAAGAAGATGAAGATGATGATGATGACTAGCAAGTAGTTGATTGATTTAGCTGCTGCTAATAGGATATCCATCGATCGAGATACAGCCCATTTACACGGTGCTAGCTAATTAATCAGTGTGTGAGTGAGTGTGTGTTTGAGAGTGAGTGAGCTAGAGCTAGAAGAAGAGAGATCGAGGTTGGTGTGTGTGTGCTTTTTTCTTCACGACGACTGCCTCTGTCCGTCTCGTGCATGCTTCGCGCGCGCGCGCGCGCATGTGGTTGTTTGTTGGCGCGTGCGCTGGATTTGCTTGCTTTGATGCTGCATGCTATTGCTAGCTACTGAAATTACTACTACCAGTGTTTTATTTATTTCATCTCCCCTTAATTAATTCTGCTTATTTCGTCAAAACTATCTGAGTCTTTGACCATCCGTCAGTATGTATGGTAAATTAATTAGTTACAGTTCGAATACTTAAACTCAACATAGAAACAGTCAGCATATTCTCATCGCCATCTGAAACTGAAAGAATGAAACATTCTCGAATCTAGTTCAGAATGAGTGCAGAGCAGAACAGAAGCATGTATGTAGCTCCTACGACATTCCTGCTACTTTTGATTATGCGACTATCAAGGCTCAACAAACAGTGCAAGAATCAATCAAATACACTAAACTACTACTGCCCTTTTATGACCACGTTTAATTACTATAGTTTTTTTTTCTTTGCTTAATTCATTTCTTAATGTCTTCACTAGCTAGCTGGGCCTTCTTCCCCCGTTCTGTTTTTGTTTTCTCTTCATCTCTCCGTTCGAGGTAACAACTCTGCACTGTTTTACGTCTCCTGTGTCTGCTTGCGTAACGTCCTTTTGCTTGTACTGACGGTCTCTCCTGATCTCCTATCCGACCAAACAAATTGTACTTTGAAGATACTCTCACTTTGCAGTAGTACCACCACCGCTGCATAAAAATGTAGCATGTACAAGGAAAAGGTATAGGCATGCATGCATGTAAAAGCTAAAGTCCAAAGATGTAGTTACATGTACAATTACTGTTACTGACATAACAAAAGGACCGTGGTTAATTAACATGATGACATATGGAGGGCCTAAAAGTGTTGATTTGGAAAGATCTATCGGTCTGGATGTGGATCAAAATTATTCCCATGCAAATCGCAACATCTGCCGCCTATAAAACCTATCATTACGTACCTTGGCTATCATGTTGGTCGATCTGGCCCCCACATGGGCCATTTTTTTTTTGCCAGCTCATCGATCGTCCCCGTTGCCTCATGCATGCGGTGAGCTTAATAAAATGTTTCTCTTATTATGATCTTTGTGTTATTTATGATCTCCTAGACCAGAGTGCTAAAGGACACTTGCAAATGATACAGAAGAGGTCATGCTAGGTGCCTAAATCATAGGCAGTTTGTATGATTGTTAGGGATTTGTGTGACTGCAGCTTAAGCAGTAGCAGTATATACAAATCGGGTGGCTCAGGTCACACACGGTACTGTTCACAGTACTGTAGCAGTAATACTGTAGCGTTGAATACTGTTCACATGGGTACTGTAGCTTTAGATATGAACCGTTGATCATAAAAATGGATGGTTGAAGTTGTGTGCAATTGTTAACTTGCAGTCCCTATCGTGACTGCACTGGATCCCAATTCGATTGTTAGTCGCAGGCATATTATCAATGACTGTTTATATAGAGGCCAAAAGGACTATTATTTGCTACTCCCTTTGTCCCATAATGTAACAATCTAGGTCCCATACTAGGACTACGAATTTAGACATGACCCTCCTTTCGTCCTATAATGTAGCAACCTAGGATAGGATTAGACTCATCCTAGGACTATGTGTCCAGATTCAGTCCTAGGATGAGCCTAATCCCATCCTAGGTTGCTACATTATGGGACGGATGGAGTATATTCTTTTTAGAAAATCAAAGAAATTCCATCGATAAACGTCCCATCTAAAAAGTACCATCGACGAACCCAACTTCCCGAAAATTTCATCGTACAATCTTTGTTCCAAAATTATCATAGCCGTCAGGTTTTCGTTAGCATTCCTCCGTTGAGGGATATAAAAAGACCATTTTACCATTATAAATTGTTGAAAGCTGATTAAAACTTTTGCTGGAAACAGAAACGTACAAGTTTATATATGGAGGACGAAATGTACAAGTTTATCAATTGTCTCAGCAAAGTTTCAACTGCTAGCACAGAGTGTTTAGGACAAAGTGGTCGTTTCCTCCTGGAAGGAAACTCTATCGTCCTCCCTAAGATGATCTGTAATCTGTATTTTTTAATCTCAAACTGTGTAAACTCTCTCTTACGATGGTTTATGGAACTCAGGTGGGGATTCCCCCCCCCCCCCCCCTCTTTCTTTTTTTAAAAAAGTTTAAGCGGTTAGCACATTAAATAAGGGGGCATTATCATTACAAAGCCAAGAATATAAATGTTTATATTCAAGGACGGAGAAACAAATTCTTATGAGTAAATGGTACTCCCTCCATTCCAAATTGATCTACATATTTCATAGGTACACTAAGACCAAGAAATACTAATATCTCTCTCATACTGTATTTACTCTAGCAACAAATTCGATATATGCACCATCCCCACTATTTTCTAGCAAATAGCAAATCAAGATATTGCATGTGGGTTATCAATACTTGTGTGCATGGATGCATGCATCAATGTCCATTTACTCTAATGCACAAATAAAATAACGAATAGACTTAATAAATGAACACAAATATGTAGATCATTTAGGAATAACCTAAAAAAAATTATATGTAGATCAATTTGGAATGGAGGGAGTATTGTACAAGAATATTATATTAATATATGGAGTATGAATTATGATTGACGAACAAAAGCAAATTAAAATTATCGTGAGACATAGGTGGTGTTCTTTTCTCCTGAAGATGAAGATGAAGATTATTTTTTTATGCAAAACGAGGTGGTATTAACGTACTCCCTTTATTCCTAATTGATCTTCATATTATATGAGTGCACCAAGACCAAGAAAATATAATAACTCTCTCATGCTACATTTACTTTAGCAATAAACTTGATGCATGCACAATCCCCACTATTTTCTAGCCAATAGCAAATCAAAACACTTGTGTGTATGGATGCCTGCATCAATGCTCATTTACCCCAATGCACAAATAACGAATAGACTTAATGAATGAACATAAATATGATGATCATTTAGGAATATTTTCAAATAAATTATACTCCCTTCATTCCAAAATATAAGGCGTAACCACACTTGACTCAAAGAACAAGAAACAATTATTATTATCTCTTTGTTTGAATCAATCCAACTAACACAATACATGCACCCTAGAATTAAGCATCTTGTGAGTGTATGATTTAAATAATAATAATTTAGGAGAGAAGAGATGCTAATTAATTGCCATACATACATGCACGCCTTATATTATGAAACATCTTTAAAAAGTAGTTGTGTCCTATATTTTGGAATGGAGGGAGTACGATGATCAATTTGGAATAAAGGGAGTATGATTGATTGAGTTTTAATTATTACAAACTTGAAAAATAAATTAATATGATATTTTAGAGCAACTTTTATATATAAAGTTTTCGCACGAAACGTGCAGTTTAGCAGTTTAAAAAACGTGCCATGAAAATCTTTATCTTAATCCAGCTCTTGTGGGAGAAATGAGCCGGACCATAGTAACCTTTGTTGTCAATTTAATAAGACGAATCTTGAGACACCTTGGATGATCAATCCAAATATATAGTGCATACAGGAGTACAAATTTTGCATCCAACTAAAACTGAACTCGTTAAAATATCAGTAAGCTACAACCTCCATTTTGAAATATAAAGAATTTCAATTGTATATCTTATGGCTGGGTTTAATTCGTAGTACTGCTAGCAGGATCGAGACAGACAGACTCCAGCCACACCCTTGCAGTACTCCAGCATCGATCGATCGATGGATCATGATGGAGCAAGAAACAGGAACAGCAACGGTATGACTGCCATATTTATGGGTGTTGGGGGAAAAGGGCGCAAGGGCTCCGGCGAATCGGCTTTCGGCACGTACGATATGATCGATCGGCTCCAAAAAGGGCTCACATTTATGCATGCATGCGGCCGTTTGTACGAGTGCCCCTGCACGTATAGGGCCCCCTCCTGCCTACCGGGCTACCGGCCGGCTGGGCGCGCGGCTGGCCCTACTGTACTGCTGCGCTGCGATTCAACTCTTTACTCTTCTTCAATTGAACTGAACTGAACTGAATTAATACTGCCGACAATTACGTCCAACAGTAGTGATAGGCAGCGCATGATTTTGTTTGCATGTTTCTTGCTTACCAGTCCCTATGTCACACGTACAATTAACTGGATCTGATCCGAGAGAATTTCCAACAACCTCTCTCCGAATCACTGTTTAAGCTAAAATTAGACAATTCTAACGAAAAATTGTGCTCGAATAATCTCGCCAAGTGGATTGCTAAGCCATCCGACCGACCAAATGTCTCTCCTCACTGACCAAATTTGGCCAACCAAAATCACTTGCCAACAGTGGGCCACACGTACTATTTTTCCTTCCCACGTGGCTACGCCCCTCTTATCTTTCTTGTGCTCCAGCGTCTGTCAATGACCGACTTCGCCTCCATCACCAAAGTGTCATCACTTTACGTTCTTCAGTGCCGGCTATCAACCACCTCCTTTACGTCGGAACCCCGCCTCGTCGATCTTCATAGGCATGGACAGCAGCTCGAGGCACATCCCTGCGACTTGCCTGACACCGGCTGTGGGCACGCCTGCGACAAGCAGGACCTCAGCGACACCCGTGGCCATGGATAGGGACGGCATCAACACGTGCTCCTATGGCGGCGCGGATGGGAAGTCATCTTCCTTGCCGTACGCCGTCTTCGCAAGTCGCTGCACATAGCTTCTTTCTACGTCTTCCTTGCCCACCTCCACACCTTAGCCAACAAGCTCTTCCCCTTGCCGTCCTCCCACCCATCCTCTCTGCTGAGCACATCAAGCTCTCTAGGGCAAGGGGACTAGGTCTCTGACTTCGATGTAGGTGGGCACCTGGCAGCCATGTGGCCCGATGACATCATATCCACGGCATCGAGCGGCTCCTCATGCTACAATCCGTATAGGAGAACTCTCACTATCGATTTGCACTATCGTCCCCGCCTCCGGCCCCACCTAGCGCCACCGTCCTAAACTCCGACCCCTCCTAGCGTCGCTGTCCCCACCTCCGGTTCTCTAGCTTGTTGGGTAGTAAAAAGGGAAGGAAAAAAGGAACTAGAGGTTAATATATGGGTCTTGTTATTTTTGATAGGGTTAATAGAGAGACGGTTGGAGTGAGCAATAAGTTTAACTTGTTAAATCAGT